TCAGACTGTGAAACACCATTACACCAACCTGCTGAACTGAAGAAAAGAATAACCTCACCTCCCCAAATAAGACACTTCAATAATCTGTTACAAAATACTTCTGTTTGTTTTACTTTAAAATCATGTAACATATATTCAATCTATTTGAAATCTTATAAAATAAACAACTATATAATCTAAACATGTTTTGTACATTCTATAATACAATATTTTCAATGAGTTTTCTGCAATGCAATGGCTGTTACATGTATGTACCAGGTTCTGTTTGTTTTACTTTTTCCTGGCAAATGCTTGACAGTATGCATTGATTGACCCTCCACCCCATATACTGCAAGGATGCACAGTCCACTCTAAAGGTCACAAATGCAAAAATCAAAGTCACATGTTGCCTTGAAAAAAGAATGACATTTGATGAAGAATCCATGAACATAAAAATATAGTCAAACGGTGAAACAAAAAGTGCATCTACTGCTGGGGGGAGACAGATTAAACAGAATCAAAGAGTGAGGCAGTACCATTTGATCTAGCGTAGCAATCACAATTAACAAACAAATATCAATAAACATGAACATTTATATAAACTGAAGCAATACACAAACACACAATGGCTCTCAGCATGACCTTAAAATGTAGGAAATCATCTGTGGACTGGGTTAATGGAAATGAATAACTGCCTCTGGTGTCATGGGGGCAACTAAAGCAAATTCTTTACATACAAGGGTTAGCTAGAGAGTACACTGGACACATGTGAGAACATGGTTTACTGTTATCCTATGAGCTTGATAATTAAACATACACTACATGTTCCTTCAACCAGCGTCAAAAGGTAGTTTACCTTATGATTGGGCATTGAGCACACTGAACCAACAACAGTTTTTTTCTGAATGATAAGGTTGAGTGGAGGTCTGAAAAATAGAATGGCCCCCTTTTCCCTCATGCCAGCGTCACTCTCAGACCAGTTGACCTGAGTCTTTTGTGTGCTCGACTTTGTTACAATGACTAATCCAGATACAAGATGTACCGCAGTAAAGATACTGGTTATATTTATGGTTGAAGGAATATCTTTTTTACATGAGTACATACCTGCCTTTCTCTCCAAAATTAACATTGCACATAGTAAAGGGTAAAACAGCACATACTTTAAGCATTCTACAACTTTCTTTAAGCATCTCTTCAACCTAAATGAACAGCACCAGTCTTCATGAGAGTGACTGTGACAGATTAAGTGATAGCGACTCAATGTACACAGCAGAGATTGCTAGGATTGTCATAAACGTTGTACAATTAAAGATTCTTATCACTCCACAATGCATTTCAACATTCACTTCATGTCAAAGGGCACATTTAGTTTGATTAGAATTCCAATATATTGTTCATTTTGTTATGGCTAGTGACTTAGCCATGTAGTGTAAAGGGATTGAGGCATACATAGACCTGTTTGTTTGACAGGATGTTTCACAGAATAACTTTCCCATTCAAATATTACAATATCTAATGAACGTGGGGTAACTCAAATCAGATACCTACTATTGTAGTTATTTGGGGAAAGCTAATGTAACTTAAATAAGAGGAAATATGTAGTATTATTTGAAGTGGTCAGTTTGATTGTCATTTACATTAGCAGGTAATTTGTCTCTGGTTAGTATTTTGTTATTACACAGTATTCCTGAAATCACCAGAGTGTATGGACACAATAACTCATAGATAGATAAATCCACTAATAGACTCTCTCTTACAAAAAAAAAGAAAAAAAGATTATCTGACCTAACAGATATAAACCATGTAACCAGAATATTATGAAAAGTACAAGTTGTTAATGTAATACTGAGAATAAATGTGTAATTATTAATAATTTGTGGTTATTTCCACAAATAACCTGAGAAAAAAATACGTTATGAAAGCATACATAATCAATGTATGACAATTACCATATATTAGTGACATCTTCTTAATCATTGCAGCATCTGTTACACTTGATACAAAACAATAAGTGAACTCTAAATAGTCCTTGGTTAGTAGTTTATGGTTGTGAGCCATTTAAGGCATTAAGACCCTACCCACTGGGCACAAACTGGTTGAATCAACATTGTTTCAACGTAATTTGTCAACGTATTGTAATGTGGAATCTACATGGAAATAACATTGGATTTGAAAAAAGTCAAACTGTTTTGAGGCTGAAACGTCAACCCCAGGATTATGTCACCATTGTAACCAATTCAACATATAAACCTTGTATAAAATGTTGAATATGTACCTTTGAAACAATGTCAGATCTTCAATGTTATATCCACTATAAAAAACAACAACAATGGGCTGGGCAGCAACTCCTGCTGGAGAGTTGCTCCATCTACAGTCCAGCTATTCATTTGGTCTCCCATTCAGGGTTTTAACCAAGCCCAGCTTTGATATTTGTCACTGACTACTACCAATGTGCTATCGTGAGAATGATTATTGAGAGACCTCTTAATAACTAAATATATTCACTGTTGCTATCGAAGTCATTCCAATGGGTAGGTTTAACAGAGCAAATTAAATGTAACCATACTTTACAAGTCATACAGTATATCATAAATGATACTCTATAGGCCTATATAGCATTTGCAAACTCATCAACAGCTATTGTTTCAATTCAACCCAGGGTTAAACAAAAAATGGACAATACATATAGGCCTAGGGTTTCAAACTTTGGTTGATTTTAAAATGTAATCTTCATGTTAATCATTAATATGTTGGATTCACGTCTCCATCTCAACCAAAAATCTAAGTTAAAGAATAGGACTAAATCAAATCAAAAACTTTAAATGCACTTTAAATAAAGTTTGATTTGATTTAGTCTATTCTTTAACTTTGCCTCTTGGTTGAGATGGAGATGTGAATCCAACATATTAATTTGTAGACATACTGAAAATAAAGCCAGACTAAGTCAGTGGCACCAAAGATACAGTACATCTCCTACACAACCAAACACAATTCAATATAACTTTTGCAATAGAGTAAATAGCCTATTAACTTGTCGACAATTTAACCAAAAATAAAAAATGTAATAGGATTAAGCTTTAGTGGCTCAGATTAAACTATCCAAGCATTAGATATCCTTTACATGTTGATATTTGGTTGTTGTCAACCAAACACAATTCAATATTACTTTTGTAATACAGTAAATAGCCTTAATTTTTGGCTATTTTACAAACTAATGTAACCGTATTTATTCAACCTAAATGAGTAACGCATCCATGGCCACATTTTGAGATTAGCCTACTGTAACTATACATTTCTTCTTATGTAATCTTAGAAAGCGTGCATGTTCAAGACAGCATGCAAAGGTCGCAGGTCTGTAGAGATTGCTATAATAATCTGTGCAGAATCTTGAACAGAATTGATCACTTGCACTATGTACTTTTAAATGTAACCTCAACTGCAATCCAGGTCATTGGGGTTGTGCTATTAGATGCAGCACAGTTATAACACATTAAGTTGTTGTATAAATACAAATGATCTGACATTCTATTCCCATTTGAACTTTGTTGTGCTTTTTAAATGGTTGAAAGCGTAGTGATAACACATTTAGATGACAACTAAACCAAAAATCAGACATTGTTTTTCCCATTGGAATTTGTCTGTGCTTTTAGATGGTTGAAAGCATAGTGATAACACATTGGGAATTCAACAAACTTCTGGCTGTCTTTTTGAGTGGGTGAATAAATGTTGAAATCTCATTGATCAACGTCTCAACCAAATATTACCCACATTTCCACATTAAAATGACATGGTGTGCCCAGTGGGTATTGTTTTATCTTTAAATGCCCGAATAAAAATGGTAGAACAGCAAGACATAACAATAATGGCTGCCTGCTTACTCTTGTTTTGAAATATATGGTGAATGAACAAACATGCTATGGTAGTCTACTAATAAGGTTTGCTCCGTCCATTAAAGTGTGGATAAAAAATATGAAGCCTGATTTTTATGAATTATTGAATGAAAATGGCATTAGTAATTGGTACTGTTCTTAGAAAATAAAATGTCTAAATATCTGATTCTATAGTGAACATAATAGGGTTATACTTGTATGAGGATATTGTTCCAGTTGCTTTGTCAGTCATTAAACAATATATTTTTTCAAACATGGACTAATAGTGTTGAACATACTATAGTGTTTAATAACGATATCAACTACAGTATACTGTATCTAGGATGACTGATTTGAATGTTTGATGAAATAATGACTGATGTCCAACATCAAAATTAACCCTTTACATTTCCTTCTGGGGAAAATATTATTGTTTTATAAGTTTGTAAAACTGCTGTTTCATAACAAAAAAGTATGCAACAACTGCACAAAAAAAACCATAACTCACAGACACGTAAGTGTTTTTCATGTGAAATGAAGATGCAACTTTGAAGGAGTAAATGCTCACTGCTTGTGTTTACTCTCTGGAAACATCAGGACAGATGCTATGAACAAGACTCACCTAACAACAACCTCTCTTTTTGTTGAAAACACATCTGCATAAAAACACATAGCAGCACTGTTTTCCTGTTGATTACTTTCATCGTTTTCTCCATCCAGCAGTGTCATGATGAAATATGACGTGTAAGCATGGTCCCAGTAGCTCTGTGGAGTGGGACAGAGATGCTGGTGGTGCAGTGAAGCGCAGACCTTCAGCACACAGACTCTTTTACCATTTCCGGGAGAGCTGTCACATTGGGGGCCGCCCCTGGTCCAAGCAGCCTCTGCCTGTGGTTCACCCCAGCATGGGGTACAAAAACCGCTTTGTCTGAAAATGGTGGTCCTTGTCAGAAGTAAGGTCACCACAGGCATATTTTCACGTTTTGTTTGCTGTGGAAACATAGCCTCTTCTGCTTCTTAAACAGCGAAGAACACTGTACAGCATGGTGACAAATAGCCTCTGTCTCTTCTATGCATCCCATAGAATTCTGCCACTGAACCTGTGACAATACGTTTCAGGGGATATCTCACAACTCTGAGTCTTCGGTGCTACCGAGTGAGCACATTTCGGAATTCTGAAAGACTGCCAGTCTGGTTTTGGGAATGGTGGTGTTGTTGCTGCTGTTGTTGTGGTTGCTGTTGCTGCTGTTGTTGTTGTTGAATATAACCCACAGTCCCTTGCTGTGGGACATTAGTGGTGTGGAAGAACGCCTGAGTGGGTCCACTGTGTAAGAGTCCTTGGGGCTGCATCTATCACCAGAAAGGGATCAGGGCGTAAGTGAGGTGATACTAGTTATTCTACAGAGTGAGACAAACCCCCCCCCAGCCCAAGGCCTGCTATCACACTACTGCAAGTAGTAGGACTACTACTGTACCTGAAAGAACTGCTGGGACTGCTGCAGCTGTAGAGAGTGATGGTTGGCCTGCTGCTGAGGGTGGTAGGCGGGCTGGGCCTGGTGCGTGATAAAGCTGTTGTGAGGGATCATGATGGGGGACGTGAATACAGGGGAGGGGACCAGGACAGCGTTGCAGTTCACCTGCTGCATGGGGAACGACGGGGTCATCATCTGCTGCTCCAGGGTGTATCTGGGGAGGGATGGGCGCAATCAAACTACGTTTACTGTGTTCATAGTAACAGAATATGTTTATTTGGAACATAAGGTAAAACATGCTGGTTGAACTACCAGTAGAAACTAGAATGTTTTTCTTTAACACTCAGATTTGTGTATGGTCTGATTCTTTGCCAATAAGTGTATATCATGTCTTTTAAGTACAATCAGGTCATATCAATGATAAATGTTCTCATATTTCACTGCATGTACTACATATGGGTCAAATAACAGACTGTGTAAAGAGATATACACAAACTCAAACACACACTTACTTGGTTTGCTGGATGGCTGTGTTGCACTGGGAAGCCTGGGAGCTCACACTGTTATCAGGTAAGAGGGTCTGCATTGGCTGGTTGAGCAGCATGCTGCCAGAAAGAACGGTCTATGTCATTGTCAAAGCTGGAACTCCAACCGTTCTAAAAATGACTCCTGGGCCATGAGGGCTGAGATTGCAAAGCTGGTATTTTTCACCCTTGACATACTTATCCATCTCCCAAATACAGTGTGAGTCCAATGGACAGGACAAAAGGTTTTGTGACTCAAGGAGACTATTCCCTCTCCAATGTCACCCTAACCTTTTTCTTCTAACCATTTGATTTCAATCTGATGAACTCAAACCTACTTTTATTTTTGATTAAATTAACTGAAGGACAAGACTTTCATGTGAAGTTACTTCCACTTCAAGGTAAGCAGGTGTTAAGCAGGTGTTATTTCATTCAGAATTCATACAACATAGCTATGATTAACAAACTCAAAGCTTTGTTTCGATAATATACAGCTTGCCATGTCAATGTTTCCCAAAATGTATTCAGTTACAAGTTGCTTCGATTCAGACCAAACTAAAGGCTGAGTTACACTGACCATGAAGAGCAGACTTTCAACAACATGTTCTTGAAAGGAATTCTGCAACAAGAAATCAGTGTTTTACTGTCTGTAGGGCTCACCGTAACTGTTCCTCTTGGCTGAACTCAGTGTCTGAGTGTCTTTGGTTTGAGTCCTGCAGTGGTCGTGTGTTCGTCTGTTGAGAGAACATCATGGGGTTGCTGTAGAAGGGCATGGTCAGGCTGGTGTGGGTCTGCACCGGGAGACTGACCGCCTGCATCTGCCCGCCTGCACTCCTTATCAACCTCTGCTGCACCTAAAGCAACAACAGGGACATTAACACCAGGTTGACTACAGGCATGTACAAAACATGTCCTTGTACAGTTGAAGTCGGAAGTTTACATACACTTAGGTTGGAGTCATTAAAACTCGTTTTTCAACCACTCCACAATTCTTCTGTTAACAAACTATAGTTTTGGCAAGTCGGTTAGGACATCTACTTCGTAAGTAATTTTTCCAACAATTGTTTACAGACAGATTATTTCACTTATAATTGACTGTATCACAATTCCAATGGTTCAGAAGTTTACATACACTAAGTTGACTGTGCCTTTTAAACAGCTTGGAAAATTCCAGGAAATTATGTCATGGCTGTAGAAGCTTCTGATAGGCTAATTGACATAATTTGAGTCAATTGGAGGTGTACCTGTGGATGTATTTCAAGGCCTACCTTCAAACTCAGTGCCTCTTTGCTTGACATCATGGGAAAATCAAGAGAAATCAGCCAAGACCTCAGAAAAAAAATTGTAGACCTCCACAAGTCTGGTTCATCCTTGGGAGCAATTTCCAAACGCCTGAAGGTACCACGTTCATCTGTACAAACAATAGTACGCAAGTATAAACACCATGGGACCACGCAGCCGTCATACCGCTCAGGAAGGAGACGCGTTCTGTCTCCTAGAGATGAACGTACTTTGGTGCGAAAAGTGCAAATCAATCACATAACAACAGCAAAGGACCTTGTGAAGATGCTGGAGGAAACAGGTACAAAAGTATCTATATCCACAGTAAAACGAGTCCTATATCGACATAACCTTCAGCAAGGAAGAAGCCACTGCTCCAAAACCGCCATAAAAAAGACAGACTACGGTTTGCAACTGCACATGGGGACAAAGATCATACTTTTTGGAGAAATGTCCTCTGGTCTGATGAAACAAAAATATAACTGTTTGGCCATAATGACCATCGTTATGTTTGGAGGAAAAAGGGGGTTGCTTGCAAGCCGAAGAACACCATCCCAACCGTGAAGTATGGGGGTGGCAGCATCATCCTGTGGGGGTGCTTTGCTGCAGGAGGGACTGGTGCACTTCACAAAATAGATGGCATCATGAGGAAGGAAAATGATGTGGATATATTGAAGCAACATCTCAAGACATCAGTCAGGAAGTTAAAGCTTGGTTGCAAATGGGTCTTCCAAATGGACAATGACCCCAAGCATACTTCCAAAGTTGTGGCAAAATGGCTTAAGGACAACAAAGTCAAGGTATTGGAGTGGCCATCACAAATCCCTGACCTCAATCCTATAGAAAATTCAGCAGAACTGAAAAGGCGTGTGCGAGCAAGGAGGCCTACAAACCTGACTCAGTTACACCAGCTCTGTCAGGAGGAATGGGCCAAAATTCACCCAACTTATTGTGGGAAGCTTGTGGAAGGCTACCTGAAACGTTTGACCCAAGTTAAACAATTTAAAGGCAATGCTACCAAATACTAATTGCGTGTATGTAAACTTCTGACCCACTGGGAATGTGATGAAAGAAATAAAAGCTGAAATAATACTATTATTCTGACATTTCACATTCTTAAAATAAAGTGGTGGTTTAAATGTATTTGGCTAAGGTGTATGTAAACTTCCGACTTCAATTGTATATTTTAACTGATTATTTCCCTGCTAACTCTATACAAAGTAAAAGTCTAAATATATTGGGATAAGAGTACAGAGAGAGAGCTGGGGTACCTGAGGGGAGGGTGTGCTGTGCTCTCTGAGGAGAGAGTGAGGGGACGAGTCGTGGGCTCCATGGAGAGGCTGTTTGGAGTGGCCCGAGGCCTGCCTGATCACCCCAGACTGGGGCTGCTGCTGGACCGGCCTCCCTGGACCCTGCTGCAGGGGCTGCTGCTGTTGGACCTGGCCAAAGTCACTGTGGATGGGCTGCTGTAACAACATCTACACAGACAAACACAGGAGGGCTTTGCTACTGTATCCACTCTATGACAATTGGCTTAGGACATTTCCCAAACTCGGTCCTCAGGATCCCAAGGGGTGCATTTGGTTTTTGCCATAACAAATTATAAAAGCTTGATGATGAGTTGATTATTTGAATCAGCTGTGTAGTGTTAGGGCAAAAAACAGAGGACAGAGTTTAAGGGATTGCTTTAGGCAGGGCGTCTGACTAGCGGTAAGCAGGGTTACCTGGAGGTTAGCCAGCTGAAGCTTCTCCTTGATGTCATGCAGCTCCTGCTGCTGAGTCTTGATGTCCATCTGCAGGATGCGTGTCCTCTCCTCCAGCTGGTCCTTGAGCTGGTTCATCACACCTAGCTGAGGCTCTTGGGGCTGCTGTTGGTACATGGACTGCTGCTGCTGTTGTTGTTGTTGTTGCTGCGATTGAAAGAATAGGATACACAGCCATCATGATAAAGGCGGTTCACATCACAGTACCATGCATGGGCCATGCTCTGGCACAAGCCTTCACAGCTGCCTACACACATTTTCAGAGCCAAGGAGGGCTCTGCAGTAGTTCAGAAATACAGCACTCGATACAGCACTCGAGCACTTGAGGTCCACAGAAATCATCTCCACAATCATATAGCTTGATTAGCACTTCCAGCTCTTCTTGTTTTCATGCAGATGTAGGAGATGCTTTTAGTGGGCCTCATTTAACATGAGGTGAAGTGATCATCATGAGACTATTTAAACATACTTGAGAATAGTAGTTTTACATCTAGAATATAATCGTCATCTACATTTGCATCTATAATATGATCATCCCAAATTACATTGCTGTGGTCTAAAATCAAGTAGGAGTGGAGGCATTTCACACAAATGAAAGAGGATATAAGGATATAAACCAACAGACAAGAGCAAGCTGTCATAATTCTGGTAGACTACTACACAAACAGTGAGCAGGCAGGAGACAGACAGACAGGAGAGATTAGACTAAATACCAACCATTGCGGAGTGCTGGCTGCAGGTAGGAGAAAGGGGGAGGCTCAGTTGGGGAAGGAGGTCAAAAGAGTTTTGCCTCTGTATCAAATTCTATAAGGAGAAGGACAACAAAAACAGAGATGGTGAGTTGAGCAGGATTCCAGGCTAATGTTTTTCTACAGATATTGGTTTTTCCACTGGCTAGTTCATAATGAGGTGAACTGACCTTTGCACTACTGGGTACGAGTCTGGACGAATTCTTCTCTGTCCCTGCGATGGATGCAGACTGCCGTGATGGTGTGCAAGCGTCTGTGAACCGCAAAGACGAGTTGGCTGGTGGGGAAAATGATTCAATAGGTAGAAGGTTATGCATACTTCCTAATTAACCATCTAAATCCAAAATAGTATACAGTAAGTGAGTGTATGGTGGTACAGAGTTTGGATTATGGTGAGAGTGGTGTTGTATGGTACAGGGTTTAAGTCTAAACTGACAAATTCAGTATTTGGGTTAGCTGGACAAAGAGAGCAGCAGGGGGACTCACATGCCGAGTCGGACAGGGCCGTGTGGGAGGATTTCCGGGAGCTGTGGGAGGACACTGAGCGTGCCCCGCTCATCCTGTCCCGTCCGGGAGGGTCCAGATTGGGACAGATGTCCAGGGACACCTCCTGAGCCTGGAACACAGGATAGACAGAGGAGCATCAAGTACTGACAGTGCCAATAAGATCTGGGACATATTTGCTTTTACCCACTCAGAATACACACAACAATGGCTGACACTGGAAAGCGCCGTAGTTGCATGGCATTTCACCATCCCACTCAGTTCTGAACACTGACACAGGATTGGGAAGTAGAGCACTACTGTACATGATTGTAACAATTGGACCTGGTAAAATGGCTGTGCATTATGAAACTTGAATACAGGATGTTATTGTAACATTCTTTATGATTCATTATTTATATTTGATCCCAGTGTCTCTTCTTCATACCTTTATGGAGGACGAAGTGGCCATCTCAGGTGACGTCTCCTCCAAGCCAAACTCTCTCCTCCTCTCCGCTCGCACCTCCGCATAACTACAAGTCCGTGACAGAGTGTGATAGAAAGAAAGATCAAATGTCAAATTATTTGCCCATAAGCCTAGCTTTCCTATCTATCTATCAATCAATCAAATTTGTTTTATAAAGCACTTTTTACAGACACCCAGCCTAAAACCCCAAAGAGCAAGCAATGCAGATGCAGAAGCACAGTGGCTAGGAAAAACTCCCTAGAAAGGCTGGAATCTAGGAAGAAACCTAGAGAGGAACCAGGCTCTGAGGGGTGGCCAGTCCTCTTCTGGCTGTGCTTGGTGGAGATAAGAGTACATGGCCATTAAGGCCAGATCGTTCTTCAAGACGTTCAGATATTCATCCTCAATTTACAATATCTAATGACAGACAGATACCACAGACCCCTAATGCAGTAGATCAGGTTCAATAGGTCTACAATAGACTGATCCTGTTGAACTCTAGGGGGGTAGCGTCAGAGTATACTTTACCAAACATGACAGAGAGAGACAGAGGAATTAGGTTTACCTGACGACTGTGTGAGTGCACACTATGAACTCTGGCTTGGAGTTCCACTGGTGGTATGTAATGTAGTAGTGTGTCTGGAGCCAGATCCACTGCTGACCCTTGGTCAGAAACCGATAGTAGCAGGATTTACCCTTCCCAAACTGCATTACTGTAAAGACAAAACAACACATGGATATTTTCAACAGAGCAGTCAGGCATACACAAATCACTACACTGCCCTTGTTCCCGAAATCCTAAAACATCAGGGTAGAGGTACCAAGCTCTAAGAAGTCTCATAGGTCCAGGCTTTTTATGCACATTGGTGAAGTGGAAATAGAAATGTAACTACAGCGGGATGACCTATTTTTGTGAAATGACTGCCTGGATCCTGTGGTAGTGAGAGAGCGGGAGAGAGGGAGAGGGTAGGGGAGGGGAGGGGAGGGGGGATGAAAGAGATGGTGGAGAGAGTTGCTTACATTGCTTATGACACTGCGCTATAAGCTCCAAGTCATCCACATGATAGTAATCATAGCCAGACGTTCCAAGAACCTCAAAGGGCAAGTAGCCGATGATTGGTGAAGCTCTGGAAAGAGAGAATAATCAAAATATTAGACAACTATGTTTTATAACAACAACAGACTGGTTAAACTGGGACATTAACTATTTATTTTGTCGGAATGTACTATTTTGCAGCCTGGAGAGAATAACTTGATTGATAATGCCATAATTACCTTGACAAGTACATTGAAAAATGCATAAAAATTATGATTAATTAAACCTAAGTCTGTATTGCCTCAAGCACACAGGGCAATAGAACTTCATATGATCCATACAGTTATGACACATTGACAGAATATCACCTCTCTAAATAGGCTAGGGCTGAGCGAGTGTGATGTTGCTAATGCCTCAAAAATGTGTAAACATGGCAATGTCATATAATCACAGCTATGATTATGACATGATTTTGGCTCACTTGGTGCATTTCATTCATCAATGCTCAGTTAAATCCACTTAGCCTAGGCCCCCATAAGCCAAATTCAGAATGGCATGCAGGTCACATTATAGAGGGAGCCATTCTTGAGACCCAGCGCAGAGCACAGCAGTTTGGCAAGGAGCTGTGAATGTCCAATTATGGCTCAGCAGAGAACAGGACGTGCAATTTCCTCCCTTGGTTTTACCTTCTTCGCACAGTTATCTAATAGTCTCGGGGAGGTTGCCATCCTCCATGCTCTGAATTCACAAGGGTGTTTGATTAGCAGGTGCTAATTGATTTGATTTGATACTGCACCTCTGGTGTCATGAATGATAGAATGTAGCAGTCTGGGCTGTTTCTCACTGGTCCTTTATCACTTCTGACGTTGCAGACTAATCTTGTGGCTCACTCTCACAATCCAGGGCATGGCAGCAGATTTAAATGCCTTACTTAGTGAGGACGCCAGGCCACACAGTGGAAACTAGCACAATCAGTCAGTCACGCCACTAGCACCAGCAGTCTGCTGATCACTGAGCCTGATCACCCAAAGCCAATCAGATGGAACATAACCAAGGGACACAGCGGGGCAGTATGGCATGCCAGTAGACATAGTTTACAAACAACAATATCATGTTACTGTCCAAGATAGGGACAGGAGAGAACAGCAGTTGTCCTCTTAAATCTATGTGTTACTGTAGCGCTAAAGATGTGCAGCCCAGAGGATGTCAGTTGATGGGCACCGATGATAGTGTAGCTTTCCATCAGGCTATGAAACTACTAAATTAAAGACTGATAACAGATGGAGGACAAAATGTACATGTTTCTTAGCTCCTCTTACCTGTGATCTAAGAACAGGAACTTCCATTCAAGGCTGTGTCTGGATGTGAATTCATCACAGGGATCTTCCACATTACACAAATCCTGGTAAAAGTAACAAAAATACATAAGGCACTAGAGCCAATCCTTTAATCCTATAAAACCTATTGTGACCTTGGTTCTATCTACGATAAGTCTAGATCTGAGTTATTGAGCGTCAAAGTTTTCACGTCATATCTCAGAACTGTTTTGTAGTGAATTCCTCGTTCATAACTAATCAAGTCCCTCACCTTAAAGGTACTTAAAGTGAGTATCAAAATCCTGGGAGTTTTGTAAATTTGTTTTTTAGGGGGGTGTTGTAATTGTAACCTTGTAAGTCTCAAAAGTGGATCTGTGTTGCGTAAAAAGGTTATTTCTGGCACTTAATGATACGATTATTTCAATGTTAATAGAAAAGTAAAGCCATTTAATGATTAAATGAACAGAATAGCCTTCCTTTCTTCAAACCACATCATGAAATACATCAATCCATATTCAACATCAATTCATAATCACCAAACACTTGTCCTTGTATCAAAGCTGGGACGAGACACTGAAAAACAGCTTCTATCTCAAGGCCATCAGATTGTTAACCCTGCACCTTAGACATGGAATCACTGGTCACTTTAATAATGGAACACTAGTCACTTTAATAATGTTTACATACTGCTTTACTCATTTCATATATGTACAGTGGGGAAAAAAAGTATTTAGTCAGCCACCAATTGTGCAAGTTCTCCCACTTAAAAAGATGAGAGAGGCATGTAATTTTCATCATAGGTACACGTCAACTATGACAGACAAAATGAGGAAAAAAATTCCAGAAAATCACATTGTAGGATTTTTAATGAATTTATTTGCAAATTATGGTGGAAAATAAGTATTTGGTCAATAACAAAAGTTTCTCAATACTTTGTTATATACCCTTTGTTGGCAATGACACAGGTCAAACGTTTTCTGTAAGTCTTCACAAGGTTTTCACACACTGTTGCTGGTATTTTGGCCCATTCCTCCATGCAGATCTCCTCTAGAGCAGTGATGTTTTGGGGCTGTCGCTGGGCAACACGGACTTTCAACTCCCTCCAAATATTTTCTATGGGGTTGAGATCTGGAGACTGGCTAGGCCACTCCAGGACCTTGAAATGCTTCTTACGATGCCATTCCTTGGTTGCCCGGGCGGTGTGTTTGGGATCATTGTCATGCTGAAAGACCCAGCCACATTTCATCTTCAATGCCCTTGCTGATGGAAGGAGGTTTTCACTCAAAATCTCACGATACATGGCCCCATTCATTCTTTCCTTTACACGGATCAGTCGTCCTGGTCCCTTTGCAGAAAAACAGCCCCAAAGCATGATGTTTCCACCCCCATGCTTCACTGTAGGTATGGTGTTCTTTGGATGCAACTCAGCATTCTTTGTCCTCCAAACACGACGAGTTGAGTTTTTACCAAAAAGTTCTATTTTGGTTTCATCTGACCATATGACATTCTCCCAATCCTCTTCTGGATCATCCAAATGCACTCTAGCAAACTTCAGACGGGCCTGGACATGTACTGTCTTAAGCAGGGGGACACGTCTGGCACTGCAGGATTTGAGTCCCTGGCGGTGTAGTGTGCTACTGATGGTAGGCTTTGTTACTTTGGTCCCAGCTCTCTGCAGGTCATTCACTAGGTCCCCCCGTATGGTTCTGGGATTTTTGCTCACCGTTCTTGTGATCATTTTGACCCCACGGGGTGAGATCTTGCGTGGAGCCCCAGATCGAGGGAGATTATCAGTGGTCTTGTATGTCTTCCATTTCCTAATAATTGCTCCCACAGTTGATTTCTTCAAACCAAGCTGCTTACCTATTGCAGATTCAGTCTTCCCAGCCTGGTGCAGGTCTACAATTTTGTTTCTGGTGTCCTTTGACAGCTCTTTGGTCTTGGCCATAGTGGAGTTTGGAGTGTGACTGTTTGAGGTTGTGGACAGGTGTCTTTTATACTGATAAGTTCAAACAGGTGCCATTAATACAGGTAACGAGTGGAGGACAGAGGAGCCTCTTAAAGAAGAAGTTACAGGTCTGTGAGAGCCAGAAATCTTGCTTGTTTGTAGGTGACCAAATACTTATTTTCCACCATAATTTGCAAATAAATTCATTAAAAATCCTACAATGTGATTTTCTGGATTTTTTTCCTCAATTTGTCTGTCATAGTTGACGTGTACCTATGATGGAAATTACAGGCCTCTCTCATCTTTTTAAGTGGGAGAACTTGCACAATTGGTGGCTGACTAAATACTTTTTTTCCCCACTGTATATACTATATTCTATTCTACTGTATTTTAGTCAATGCCACTCCGACATTGCTCGTCCTAATATTTATATATTTCTTCATTCTATTATTTTACTTTTTGATTTGTGTGTATTGTTGTGAATTGTTAGATACTATTTTACTGTTGGAGCTAGGAACACAAGCATTTCGCTACACCCGCAATAACATCTGCTAAATATGTATGTGACCAATACAATTTGATTTGATTTGATTTTAAAGCAATAGTTCACTGAAATGACAACTACCCTACAGTGCTTTCAGAAAGTACACACCCCTTGACTTTTTCCACATTTTATTTTGTTACAAAGTGGTATTAAAATGGATTTTCTGTAAAAAAAAAAGAATTTTAAAAAATATTGGAAAATAAAACACTAATATACAGTGGGGAGAACAAGTATTTGATACACTGCCGATTTTGCAGGTTTTCCTACTTACAAAGCATGTAGAGGTCTGTAATTTTTATCATAGGTACACTTCAACTGTGAGAGACGGAATCTAAAACAAAAATCCAGAAAATCACATTGTATGATTTTTAAGTAATTAATTTGCATTTTATTGCATGACATAAGTATTTGATCACCTACCAACCAGTAAGAATTCCGGCTCTTACAGACCTGTTAGTTTTTCTTTAAGAAGTCCTCCTGTTCTCCACTCATTACCTGTATTAACTGCACCTGTTTGAACTTGTTACCTGTATAAAAGACACCTGTCCACACACTCAATCAAACAGACTCCAACCTCTCCACAATGGCCAAGACCAGAGAGCTGTGTAAGGACATCAGGGATAAAATTGTAGACCTGCACAAGGCTGGGATGGGCTACAGGACAATAGGCAAGCAGCTTGGTGAGAAGGCACAACTGTTGGCGCAATTATTAGAAAATGGAAGAAGTTCAAAATGACAGTCAATCACCCTCGGTCTGGGGCTCCATGCAAGATCTCACCTCGTGGGGCATCAATGATCATGAGGAAGGTGAGGGATCAGCCCAGAACTACACGGCAGGACCTGGTCAATGACCTGAAGAGAGCTGGGACCACAGTCTCAAAGAAAACCATTAGTAACACACTACGCCGTCATGGATTAAAATCCTGCAGCGCACGCAAGGTCCCCCTGCTCAAGCCAGCGCATGTCCAGGCCCGTCTGAAGTTTGCCAATGACCATCTGGAGGATCCAGAGGAGGAATGGGAGAAGGTCATGTGGTCTGATGAGACAAAAATAGAGCTTTTTGATCTAAACTCCACTCGCCGTGTTTGGAGGAAGAAGGATGAGTACAACCCCAAGAACACCATCCCAACCGTGAAGCATGGAGGTGGAAACATCATTCTTTGGGGATGCTTTTCTGCAAAGGGGACAGGACGACTGCACCGTATTGAGGGGAGGATGGATGGGGCCATGTATCGCGAGATCTTGGCCAACATCCTCCTTCCCTCAGTAAGAGCATTGAAGACGGGTCGTGGCTGGGTCTTCCAGCATGACAATGACCCGAAACACACAGCCAGGGCAACTAAGGAGTGGCTCCGTAAGAAGCATCTCAAGGTCCTGGAGTGGCCTAGCCAGTCTCCAGACCTGAACCCAATAGAAAATCTTTGGAGGGAGCTGAAAGTCCGTATTGCCCAGCGACAGCCCCGAAACCTGAAGGATCTGGAGAAGGTCTGTATGGAGGAGTGGGCCAAAATCCCTGCTGCAGTGTGTGCAAACCTGGTCAAGACCTACAGGAAACGTATGATCTCTGTAATTGCAAACAAAGGTTTCTGAACCAAATATTAAGTTCTGCTTTTCTGATGTATCAAATACTTATGTCATGCAATAAAATGCAAATTAATTACTTAAAAATCATACACTGTGATTTTCTGGATTTTTGTTTTAGATTCCGTCTCTCACAGTTGAAGTGTTCCTATGATAAAAATTACAGACCTCTAAATGCTTTGTAAGTAGGAAAACCTGCAAAATCGGCAGTGTATCAAATACTTGTTCTCCCCACTGTATCTTGATTAGATAAGTATTCAACCCCCTGAGTCAATATATGTTATCGCCTTTGGCAGCGATTACAGCTGTGAGTCTTTCTGGGTAAGTCTCTATGAGCTTTGCACACCTGGATTGCACAATATTTGCTCATTATTCTTAAAACAAATCTTCAAACTCTGTCAAGTTGGTGATTCTAACATGTATTGACTCAGGGTGTGAATAATTATGTAATCAAGATTTCTGTATTTCATTTTCAATAAATTAGCAAACATTTCTAAAAACATGTTTTCACTTTGTCATTATGGGGTATTGTGTGTAGATGGGTTTGAATTTAGGCTGTAACACAACATAATGTGGATTAAGTCAAGGGGTATGATTACTGTCTGAAGGCACAGTATGCCTCACCAGTAAGCCTTAAACATGCTCCAAGGTACCTGTATTTATTTATTATTTTTTTGCCATAAAGAGCAGATATTTTGGCCATTCTTCTGCAAAAATTGCACAAAAAAACGAAATAATTGCAAAAGAATGCCATAACCTATGATTTGAATAATCAAGGACTTGAAATCAAAAGGTTTTATCTGCGAAAGTGCTGAGCGATTAACCGAAATGTTGGTTATTTTTTGTTTTTTAAACAACTAATTGACCTACGTCGGTTTAATTATTTGAATTCCATTTCGTTGTGAGCTCTATGTGCAGTTTCTGTAGAGATAAATCAGATGAGGCCTGAACTGTGCGATGTATTAGGGAGTTGTAGTTTCCAACAGGCCAATATTCTACATATGCACATAATCCATTACGCACCCGCTTACATTTGTCCGGTCTGTGCAGAGCAGACATGAAGACTAAGAGAAGAGAGAACGGGCGATCGAGAGGGATAGAAAGCAGTTGCTTCGCGAGCCTTTAAAAACATGATCTAAGTGATTGATAGTTGGTATTCAGCAATCATAAAAGTATGCCTTATTTACATTGAGGAACTACTAAAATAGTGATTTTGTCAAATTATCGGAAGAGAGGATTGCCATAATAAATAAATATGCAGCTCAAAAAATTGTTTAGTGATCAAGAATATTAACTGTTTACTTTGCAAGCAATGGGGCATCAATTACTAGCATAGGCCTACCGCTATTTTTGTATGTAACAATTGCTTGAAATTGATCATTTACTTATGAAGCTTGCATTTGGAATTTGTTTAAAATTCATTATTACTATGGAGAAGATGCACCATAGGCGTGGCTCTTCACTTGCGCTCTCCAAACACCCGCCAGTAGAGAGTACTTTTTTTCTCTTGTTGAAATGTTTGCTCTTGCTTTCACATGTTTAAATGCATAGGCCTTATGTGGTAAATCTATATTCCATCTATTACTACAATAATTACTAGCGTTTCATCATTCCATCCCCGTACCGTTTATTGCAACACATAGACATTTCTGTTACATGTTTGATAGGCCTACGATATATTTTCATTTAGCCAACCATTTATTACCCTCTGAGTGGGCTCGATTTTTATTGTGCACATGAATGTTCACAACTCATGAGGTCGAAGGTCTGTTTATTTAATTAAATATATGGTTTCCTTTGTTCATATTGCCCAGGTTATGTCGGAGTTCCGTGTGTCTGTGTCCTATGTCTCTGTCATTCTGGTTGTGCTTAATATCAGGGCAAGCGCCTCAGTGCACATAGAAATAGGCTACGTGACCTGCGCTCCACGCTTTGGAGTCAGAACGTTGAATAAGAGAACAGTATTGTTCCATGTATGCATGGTGTTGAAATATCATTAATAATCATTAAGTCTGATTAAGACGAATGTAACAATGGATGTGGAAATTGCCTTTTAAATGGTAGAACCAGTTAATTAGTTGTAATTGCCAATTGGGTAATTGTATGGTCCTGGGGACCAAGTGCTTATATTATGTAGGCATACCTGTTTGAGCTCCTGTTAGACCGCTTTGGTTTCTCAAGGGGAGGCTGTACAGTACAATACAATGTATGTATTCCACATGTGAAGGATCATCTAAAGAGCAACTATGTGAATAACTAATTTCTTTTACCAAAATGTCAAATATAATTATTCCAAGGTCTGGTAAATAACAAATGGCAAAAGAATAATATGAAGATTCACAATGCAAAAAAAACTAAGACAGGCCTTAAAAAGATTTTCTAAATATATTATTTTCTTCTTCCTTTTCAACACTTTTTCACTGTTCTTTATAAATTAATATCCACATACATAAAACATCTGTATGTCGTCAAATGGAATCAGCAAAGATTTAGCAAAATAAACATGATCTTACCTTTAAAAACTGCGGAGTGACTAATCGTACAGTGGCAACAAGGCAGACCTGCTCTTCCAGTGATGACTGCAGGGTTCTTGGTAATGTCAACTCAAATCCGTTACAAGAGGATGTAGGCACTACGAGTCAGAAACAACAGTCACTCAAATACCTCCCCAGAGGATGGATGTTGGCATAGCAAGTATAAATCAACAGCAACAATCCATTTGGTGCATTACAACAGTATAGTATAGTCACTAGGAATGATTATCATCAACCCCAAACAGGTATATATGTTACAAGAGGACGTAGGAGCTGTGAATCAAAGTCCAACTGTGTTTCCCAGCCACAGCAGTGTGCGCTGGGGGTTTTGTCATTGCCCCTTTAATCACACACTCATTTGAGAAAGGAAAATCAGCAGGACTGTGGCCCCTGAAGACTGCAATAGTGATCCCCAGCTGTGGGTCGGGGGTAATGGCAAATCAGGCAATACATATTTGATTAGCTGTGACTGGAGTTATTCTACGAGTGCCAAATACCTTTACATAACCTTTCCATCTCACCACACTCTGGTGAACATACTACGGCATTATGCTATTCAAACGACTGGAAGTCCAAAACTTTAAATGAGTATGGAAATATCAAAAAGTCAGAAGTGTAATTTCAGATGAGAGGGAAACATTTCCTCATACGTCTAATTTTCCAGTCAATTAGCCAGGTATTTGAATAGTGATCCACAATGAGATATGCAGTTCTGAAACGGTTATATAACCTCTTTGATTGTCTGTCTGTTTCATGTTTTGAGTAAGTTTTCATGACATAACATCTTCATTCTAATACTCAATAGAATGCAGAGGTTGGCCTTATAAATATAACTAGATGGTTTACTGCCCATTCATCAGGTTGTAGCTCGGTCAGCAGCTGTAGATGAAATGGCACATAAAATACATATGATAATAGAACAATAGTGCTGGCAGTTGAAAGAGAAAGTAATTTCTGTTGTTATGCGAGTATGTCAAGGAAACAAAGATTTGGGAACTAAAACATTGCAAAGTATTGCACAACTTTAAAATGTCAAGTGAGCTGGGGGTAGAAAAACAGAACACTCACCATTGTTATGAAACTTGAAATCTCCTACAAATTTCACATACTCATATGTAGGGGGTTCCTTTGGGTCGATGTTTCCTCTGGCTAAATGACAGCAGAACTCAATGTGTGTCTTACCTGTAAAAAATACCAAATGGGAGTTAGGTGGAGTGTCCTCAACAAAACACAATGCTTTTTCCATCATCATGAAGAAAAATAAAGTGAGAAAAATATTTACTGCAAAAGCGAATAACCCATTTACAGTGTGTATTTACAGATACTCTATTGGCTCTTCTTTCTAATATAAATCATCTTGAAGTCTTCATGGTACAACATGATAAAATATCAACCTATTTGAAAATAGTTTATGTGAGAGCCTTGGATGAAACTCTGACAGAGTTGGTAAATCTCAGTGAAAAGAATGATGACAATAATTATTTTGCCATTACAACTTCTGCTCCTCACAACTGCTGACCGCTCAGACATTTTGGCCTTTCTCTCATGGCTGAAAATCAGCACACTGCTCCCAGTAAATGGCATTGAACCAAACATAGTTTGTCTCAGTTGTCATGGGACGGCTCAGCAGTGTTGTTCATACAGACGAGGCTTCACTTGGCAGGGGAATGAGACCAGCGGGGGGAGAGGATGCGGGGGAGTATGTAACTGTGCCATCGAAACACTAAAACTGTGCACTGATGATGTTCTAAATACTCCTCATCCAGACACAATGTCACAGTAACACAGAATGTCTGAATACAGTCATACCATTTTCTACAGAGTCCACGGTTCCGTTTAAACGGGTTACCTTTGCTCAAGAGAATGCCTCCACTGACTTATGTCAGAGCACTAGCTCAGACATACTGTACACACTGAGGGGACTCACTGTGTTAATGTTCTACTAAGCCTCCAAAGCCAATGTGTTGCTCTTCAGTAGACTAAAAATAGAGCATTGTGGCATTGTCAGGAGGCTGGGAATACCAGTGGCCCTGTGCCATTCAAACTGATATATATATATATATATATATAGAGTGTACCAGCCAAAAGTTTGGACACACCTACTCATTCAAGGGTTTTTCTTTATTTAGACTATTTTCTACATTGTAGAATAATAGTGAAGACATCAAAACTATGAAATAACACATATGGAATCATGTAGTAACCAAAAAAGTGTTATACAAATCAAAATATATTTTATATTTGAGATTCTTTAAAGTAGCCACCCTTTGCCTTGATGACAGCTTTGCACACTCTTGGCATTCTCTCAACCAGCTTCATGAGGTAGTCACCTGGAATGCATTTCAATTAACAGGTGTGCCTTGTTAAAAGTTAATTTGTGGAATTTCTTTCCTTCTTAATGTGTTTGAGCCAATCAGTTGGTTTACAGAAGATAGCCCTATTTGGTAAAAGACCAAGTCCATATTATGGCAAGAACAGCTCAAATAAGCAAAGAGAAACGACAGTTCATTGTTACTTTAAGACATGAAGATCAGTCAATCCGGAAAATTTCAAGAACTTTGAAAGTTTCTTTAAGTGCAGTCGCAAAAACCCTCAAGCTCTATGATGAAACTGGCTCTCATGAGGACCGCCACAGGAAAGGAAGACCCAGAGTTACCTCTGCTGCAGAGGATAAGTTCATTAGAGTTACCAGCCTCAGAAATTTCAGCCCAAATAAATGCTTCACAGAGTTCAAGTAACAGACACATCTCAACATCAACTGTTCAGAGGAGACTGCGTGAATCAGGCCTTCATGGTCTAATTGCTGCAAAGAAACCACTACTAAAGGACACCAATAAAAAGAGGAGACCTGCTTGGGCCAAGAAACACGAGCAATGGACATTAGACCGGTGAAAATCTGTCCTTTGGTCTGATGAGTCCAAATTTGAGATTTTTGGTTCCAACTGCTGTGTCTCTGTGAGACGCAGAGTAGGTGAACAGATGATCTCTGCATGTGTGGTTCCCACCGTGAAGCATGGAGGAGGAGGTGTGATGGTGTGGGGGTGCTTTGCTGGTGACACTGTCTGTGATTTATTTAGAATTCAAGGCACACTTAACCAGCATGGCTACCACAGCATTCTGCAGCGATACGCCATCCCATCTGGTTTGGGCTTAGTGGGACTATCATTTGTTTTTCAACAGGATAATGACCCAACACACCTCCAGGCTGTGTAAGGGCTATTTGACCAAGAAGGAGAGTGATGGAGTGCTGCATCATCAGATGACCTGGCCTCCACAATCACCCGACCTCAACCCAATTGAGATGGTTTGGGATTAGTTTGACCGCAGAGTGAAGGAAAAGCAGCCAACAAGTGCTCAGCATATGTGGGAACTCCTTCAAGAATGTTGGAAAAGCATTCCAGGTGAAGCTGGTTGAGAGAATGCCAAGAGTCTGCAAAGCTGTCATCAAGGCAAAGGGTGGCTACTTTGAATAATCTCAAATATAAAATATTTTTTGGTTACTACATGATTCCATATGTGTTATTTCATAGGTTTTGATGTCTTCACTATTATTTTACAATGTAGAAAATAGTAAAAATAAAGAAAAACCCTTGAATGAGTAGGTGTTGTAAAACTTTTGACTGGTACTGTACATACATATATATACACACATTTGTTATAATATAATATATACAGTGCATTCGGAAAGTATTCAGACCCTTTCCTCCACATTTCTTTCTCCACATTTCTTTCTCCACATTTTGTTACGTTACAGCCTTAATCTAAAATGGATTACATAAAAAAAATTCCTCATCAATTTACACACAATACTCCATAATAACAAAGTGAAAACTGTTTTTCAGAAGAAACATTTTTTTTATTTGTAAATTTTTTTAGGGGGTAGATCAGCTTTAATATTGCAAATAGATTGTAGCTTCCATCAATGTAATTGTCTGCATCACTTCCAATCCCCCATATATTTTTTACAAATATATATGTATACATATAAACATACACATATAAATACATGTACATATCCTTTAAAAATTATATATATTTTCCTTTATTACTTTCTAACCCTACCACCCCTCCCCTAATTGGAGTAAACAACTGAACAACAACGCTTAGGCCTCTACCTCCAGCTTATACATACTATATACACCATCATTCAAAAGTTTGGGGTCACTTAGAAATGTCCTTGTTTTCGAAAGAAAATCAATTATTTTGTCCATTAAAATAACATCAAATTGATCAGAAATACAGTGTAGACATTGTTCATGTTGTAAATGGCTATTGTAGCTGGAAACGGCTGATTTTTAATGGAATATCTACATAGGCGTACAGAAGCCCATTATCAGCAACCATCAGTCCTGTGTTCCAATGGCATGTTGTGTTTTCTAATCCAAGTTTATCATTTTAAAAGGCTAATTGATCATTAGAAAACCCTTTTGCAATTATGTTAGAATAGCTTAAAACTGTTGTGCTGATTTTGTTGTGCTGATTTAAAGAAGCAATAAAACTGCCCTTCTTGAGACTAGTTGAGTATCTGGAGCATCAGCTATTGTGGGTTCCATTACAGGCTCAAAATGGCCAGAAACAAATCACTTTCTTCTGAAACTCGTCAGTCTATTCTTGTTCTGAGAAATGAAGGCTATTCCATGCGAGAAATTGCCAAGAAACTGAAGATCTCGTACAACGCTGTGTACTACTCCCTTCACAGAACAGCGCAAACTGGCTCTAACCAGAATAGAAAGAGGAGTGGAAGGCCCGGTGCACAACTGAGCAAGAGGACAAATACATTAGAGTGTCTAGTTTGAGAAACAGGCGCCTCACAGGTCCTCAACGGGCAGCTTCATTAAATAGTACCCGCAAAACACCAGTCTCAACGTCAACAGTGAAGAGGCGACTCTGGGATGCTAATTATTTTACATAATTCCCTATCTTGAAAGGTACAGTGTAGTTGTACTATATTTATTTAACAATTGTTTTATTTTATTGCTTTTCTATTTATATATTTTTTTATTATTACAATCCCTACCATGGCTAGTATTGGGTGTTCCATTATTCGACTCCTCTATGAGAACTTTATAATTTTTAGAATAGCCATGGAGTAGTCTTTGTGTCTCTGAACATTTGGTTGTCAATATACAGTTTATCGACTACAAGAGCTACACACTTCCCTTTTAATCTAGTCTACTTGAAGATTGGGTACAGAACTTTGCGCCGTTCTGCAATCTCCCTCGGGAACTGATCATTCATGCCTATCTTCGTGCCAGCAAGTCTTTTACCCAGCAAGTATTTTACCCAGAACACGGTGGCCTCCATCATTCTTAAATGGAAGAAGATTGGGACCACCAAGACTCTTCCTAGAGCTGGCCGCCCGGCCAAACTGAGCAATCGGGGGAGAAGGGCCTTGGTCAGGGAGGTGACCAAGAACCTGATGGTTACCCTGACAGAGCTCCAGAGTTCCTCTGTGGAGATGGGAGAACCTTGCAGAAGGACAACCATCTCTGCAGCACTCCACCAAATCAGGCCTTTATGGTAGAGTGGCCAGACGGAAGCCACTCCTCAGTAAAAGGCACATGACAGCCCGCTTGGAGTTTTCCAAATGGCACCTAAAGTACTCTCAGACCATGAGAACCAAGATTCTCTGGTCTGATGAAACCAAGATTAAACTCTTTGGCCTGAATGCCAAGCATCATGTCTGAAGGAAACCTGGCACCATCCCTACGGTGAAGCATGGTGGTGGCAGCATCATGCTGTGGGGATGTTTTTCAGCGGCAGGGACTGGGAGACTAGTCAGGATCAAGGGAAATATGAACGGAGCAAAGTACAGAGAGATCCTTGATGAAAACCAGGACCTCACACTGGGGCGAAGGTTCACCTTCCAACAGTACAACGACCTTAAGCACACAGCCAAGACAACGCAGGAGTGGCTTTGGGACAAGTCTCTGAATGTCTTTGAGTGGCGCAGCCAGAGCCCGGACTTGAACCCGATCCAACATCTCTGGAGAGACCTGAAAATAGCTGTGCAGCGACGCTCCCCATCCAACCTGACATAGCTTGAGAGGATCTGCTGAGAAGAATGGGAGAAACTCCCCAAATACAAGTGTGCCAAGCTTGTAGAGTCATACCCAAGAAGACTTGAGGCTGTAATTGCTGCCAAAGGTGCTTCAACAAAGTACTGAGTAAAGGGTCTGAATACTTATGTCAAATGTGATATTTCAGATTTGTATTTTTAATACATTTGCAAACATCTGTACAGAATGACACACACATTTGGGATTTAAAGTGCAAAGGAAAAAAGGTTCCTTATTAAACCAAGAATGATATCATCACTCCATTGTTACACATATCTACCTGGATTCAATTAAATAAAATGCTTCCTCTGTGGTACCGTAAGCTCTGAGTCAAGTATTGAGTTCACTTATCCAAGAGCAGCTAGACGTTCATAAGGACCTGAGAGCTCCTTTGTCCTCAGGTGGGAGTGCAGTGCACATAATGTATGTATTAGTGATGAACACTCAACTCAGAGCAACACACATTCCCATTGCTATACTTCAACGAAATGACAGTAACAAATTAACCAAGAAGATCGCTGACTTCCTAAGCAATTCGTGTGTTGAGCAGGAGAAGCAGTATTTTTTTTAATGAAAGAAAGGAGATGAAAGCTAAATGCAGGAATTGCCTGTTAATGAGGCTAGGAGAAAATGATTATTCCAGACACAGTAGCGTCTACAGTAGTTTTCTATGCTTTGTATTCCTGTAGTTCTAAACATAGACTTAGATGATTCCACATCAGTCTCTTTCTCAGAAGAGCACAATTGTAGCATGGGATTAAGCTCAGTGTCTCGAGCCCTAGATACAGGATTACTGAAGCTACAGTGATTAAAACTCCTAACCACGCTGCTAGGCTAACTACTATTATTAGCTAAAGGACTAATCATAGGACCACACTGTCCAGCAATCCAATAAACTGGCAGAGCCAAACACGGCAACCTGCTCTATATTCACGGTCAGTTCAGTATCAGGACTGCAGAGCAGAGGTGGTCTGAGGTTCAGTACAGTACAGTGTGAATTCCTAACACACAGAGGCAATAGTCATGTAAATACAATAGAACTGGATGGATGCCTACAGGACAGATTTAACACTTTGTCAAAAAGAATTTTCCCCACTGCTGGCATAAAATCACTGTTTGTTTTGGAGGCTGTGGCGTGTGACTGCTGGGCCACTGCATGGTTTGATGTATAATTCATGGGGATATCGCTCATATAATTCATGGGGATATCGCTCATAAAAGTGAAATAGCCAACATCAAAAGAAATAAAAAGGTCACCACAGCCCTGTTCATTGCTGTAGTGCATTAAATGAAGCAAAACAAAGCACTAGTACAGGACAAAATAGGAGGCTGGTACAAATGCTTATGAATACTTGTTCTGCAACATAATTCCAATAAGAAAAACAAAGCATTACTAATCTTCTCTATCCAGACATCTCCTAAGCTAAGCATCCCTGGTGGTGCCAGGGCTGGAGATGGACCCAGTACTGATTGACTGAGAAGGAAAGATGGGTTCAGTACTGAGGGAGTAAAGAGGAAATATGGTTCAGTACTGAGGGAGTGAAGAGAAAAGATGGGTTCAGTCCTGAGGAAGTGAAGAGGAAAGATGGGTTCAGTACTGAGGGAGTGAAGAGGAAATATGGGTTCAGTACTGAGGGAGTGAAGAGGAAAATGGGTTCAGTACTGAGTGAAGAGGAAAGATGGGTTCAGTACTGAGGGAGTGAAGAGGAGGACTAAATACTCACTGTCCAGGAAGTCAGCAGAGACGGGGTCAGTCATCAGCATGTGGGATGATAGCAGCTTATAGACCTCCCCATGCTCATGCTCAGGGAGAAAGTTCAAGATATTTTGGTCCACCATATCTGACTGATACAAAAGGATAAAAGGTGGGAGCGTCAGTGTCTATGGCCCATCATTGTTCATGCACATGTCATATCACGGTCATATTATCAGGTACGGTATTACATATCATAGTCAGTGTCCCAATTGCAATAAAGTATACATTGATTTGAATGAGTGTATTGAGATCATAAGTGGAAGCTTAACGTTTAACGCATGATATAATCAGGAACATGGTGGTTGCAAGATTGAATCTATATCCTTGTTTACTGTGCAGCTATTCTTATATACATTAATATGAAGTTACAAAGGACAATAATGGAATCAAAACTTTTTTTCATAACCATGTGCAAAGACATAATGCTGTTACAAGCTAGATCAGCCTGACTCTCACTTACCGGTAAATGGCCAATGAGTGAAGACACGCTGTCGGACACATATATAATGTTTCCATCTGTAGTTAGTGCTATGAGGAAACCGTCTAAAGCCTGTGGAAGGAAAACAAAGTGATTATTATTATGCCGGCTACTATAATTGTTGTGTGTTACATTTGTTTCAGAGGTGCATCATGCTGGTGCTGGCCTAAAGAGGTTAATCAGGATGTCAAAATACAGTATTCCTTCCAGTACTAGTGAACGATGTCCTTTGGCTTTATTTAATATCAGAGGAGATTAACGTGGTGCTAAACTGATTTTACCTCCAGCATCAACTGGGTGAACTCCTCATTACTGAGGAACGAAGGCTTCCAGTCCTGCCGGATCTCACACGACTCGGTCTGTGCTGTGATTTCTGAAACAGAGGATAAGAGAGGTAAAGGCCAGGAATAGGGGTTAGATAGATCTGTTAGCACTACATTAGCACTGTCTCCGACAAAAAAGAGTCATCTGTTCTTTCAACCAATCGATTTGTCAACATTTTAAAACAGGTATTTTTCCATATATAGACACATGCTGTGTGTTTTAATAAAATCAACTATATGCACTGTGTTTGTCTGATGCTTTAAGCAAACTGTTTGATGAAATAATTAAGAAACACAAATGACTAGACGGAGTTTGACCGCAATTGATTTGAATGTGCTGGGCCTGGCTCAGACTTTCTGCGCTAGGTAAAAAAAAAAGGTTCATCAGGATGTCCTCATTTGTTTAGGAAAAACATTCCCTATTCCCTCAACCCTTGCTCTCTTTACATGACATATGTATGCATGGCATGCACGTGACCAATGGGGCCTGACCTATAGCATATCATAATCACATCAATAAATTGGTAATAACAAACTCTGAACACCGTAACACGTGACAACAAAATGGATGTAGAGAACGTGACAAATAAACTCGAAACGGGGGAATGTTTACTGGTTGCTCAGGAAACAAAGGGGAAGTCAGATGTGTGGAATACATTTGACTAGTTGTGGAAAACACTGGCGATCAAGAAAAAGAAAGTAAGGAGCAAGCACTGCATGCATATTATGTGTACCAAACAGTATCTGTTAGATTACAACATAATCTTTCTGACTGTTTGGAACAATGTAAACAACACTGAATAAATTATAAGCGTACCAGAGAGTCTGTTGTAACGTTTTTTTTTGTAAAGCCTTTATTACAGCAAAGACTAAAAACAGTCACATTCATTCATGAATGCAATTTCCGAAATGGAACGGTTTAGGCCTGTTTATTGTTTACGCTAATTATTCAATGGTCACTTTCTTATTTTATTTTAAAACTAAAACGCTTGATTGCATTTCATATCATGAATGACTCCTATACTGTTTGATGACATTAACAATTACATTGATTGATACAGTAGCCTATATAAGTATTGAAATATGGGCCTAAGTAAGTTACAGTATTAAGACTAAACAGGATGCGCTCTTAGGCCTGCAGCTCGATGGTGGTTATACAAGGCTGCTATACTAAGCCTGCTAATGATAATGACATTACTTATTATTATAATAATGATGATCATAATAATAACAGTAATAATAACAAGAAGGAGATCAAGGAAAAACTAGGGTTATTATTATAAATATAAAGCCTTTATTACAGCATAAAATAAATAAAAAACAGCAGAATTTGTGAAATTGTTTATCCGACATGTTGTGGTTGCTTGAGCCTTGATGATCAGTAGGCTATTAAACAAACACTCAAACAGGCAACAGAAGCAGGATCTGTCTTATTTGCATTTGGAAAGTATTCAGAACCCTTGACTTTTTCCGCATTTTGTTACGTTATAGCCTTATTCTAAAATTGATTCAATTGTTTTTTTCCCTCATCAATCTACACACAATACCCCATAATGACAAAGCAAAAACCGGTTTATCACTGAAATATTACATTTACATAAGTATTCAGACCCTTTACTCAGTACTTTGTTGAAGCACCTTTGGCAGCGATTACAGCCTTGAGTCTTCTTGGGTATGACGCTACAAGCTTGGCACACCGGTATTTGGGGAGTTTCTCCCATTCTTCTCTGCAGATCCTCTCAAGCTCTGTCAGGTTGGATAGGGAGCGTTGCTGCATAGCTATTTTCAGGTCTCTCCAGAGATGTTCGATCAGGTTCAAGTCCGAGCTCTGCCTGGGCCACTCAAGGACATTCAGAGACTTGTCCCGAAGCCACTCCTGCGTTGTCTTGGCTGTGTGCTTAGGGTTGTTGTCCTGTTGGAAGGTGAACCTTCGCCTCAGTCTGAGGTCCTGGGTGCTCTGGAGCAGGTTTTCATCAAGGATCTCTCTGTACTTTGCTCCGTTGATCTTTCCCTCAATCCTGACTAGTCTCCCAGTCACTGCCGCTGAAAAACATCCCCACAGCATGATGCTGCCACCACCATGCTTCACCGTAGAGATGGTGCCAGGTTTCCTCCAGACGTGACGCTTGGCATTCAGGCCAAAGAGTTCAATCTTGGTTTCATCAGACCAGAGAATCTTGTTTCTCATGGTCTGAGAGTCCTTTAGGTGCCTTTTGGCAAACTCCAAGCGGGCTGTCATGTGCCTTTTACTGAGGAGTGGCTTCCGTCTGGCCACTCTACCATAAAGGCCTGATTGGTGGAGTGCTGCAGAGATGGTTGTCCTTCTGGAAGGTTCTCCCATCTCCACAGAGGAACTCCGGAGCTCTGTCAGAGTGACTATTGGGTTCTTGGTCACCTCCCTGATCAAGGCCCTTCTCCCCCGATTGCTCAGTTTGGCCAGGTGGCCAGCTCTAGGAAGAGTCTTGGTGGTTCCAAACTTCTTCCATTTAAGAATGATGGAGGCCACCGTGTTCTTGGGGACCTTCAATGCTGCAGAAATGTTTTGCTACCGTTCCCCAGATCTGTGCCTCGACACAATCTTGTCACGGATCTCTACGGACAATTCCTTCGACCTCATGGCTTGGTTTTTGCTCTGACATGCACTGTCAACTGTGGGACCTTATATAGACAGGTGTCTGCCTTTCCAATAAATTTAATTTACCACAGGTGGACTCCAATCAAGTTGTAGAAACATCTCAAGGATGATCAATGGAAACAGGATGCACCTGAGCGCAATTTCGAGTCTCATAGCAAAGGGTCTTGCACAAAAAAAATGTAAACCTGTTTTCGCTTTGTCCTTATGGTGTATTGTGTGTCGATTGAAAAATGATTTAATCAATTTTAGAATAAGGCTGTAGAGTAAGAATTATGTGGAAAAAGTCAACGGGTCTGAATACTTTCCGAATGCACTGTATATGGATGATTTATAAAGCCAGGCACATTTAACAGTTAGGCTATTGATTATAGACCTAATTAAGTTGGGGTTTCTTCTCTCCTCACTTTTCTTAGACAATTAAGGCAAGGGCTGTTTTCTCGTCTCCTAACTCCGGTGTCTTGTACACCATTTTTTTTTATTTGCTACTGCTCGACTAAAGAAATCTTGGTCGACCAAAAGCCTATCGACCAAACAATCGACTAAATGGGGTCAGACCTACACTACACTCCAACATCCAGGGGGCCATCGCTGCCAAATCGCTAGTAGTGGAAGGATCCTGATTAATACCTCTGAATAGACCAAACTGGTCAAGCTTTCAGACAAAATAGGAGACGCAAAACAGAAGAGGAAGAGAGGTTAAGAAATATCCCAGATCGGGACAGTTTCTGTCTAAAAGCCATCTCGTAAACACTGACAGCTGTGACCTAGACTGAGTTGAGGTTCTGTCTGTCTGGGCCAAGCTTGGTAGGGAAGTGGAGAACTCCTCTCTTTTCTCTATGTTCCTGTCCGAACAAATACTATACTAGACAGCTAATGTCATCCACCCTCCTAGTTCCTTCCTTCTTTTCCCACCTGTTCTGGGAGCAGTGATGTTCTTTATGTAGGGCAGGACGCAAGCGCCACATGCACACGCACACAAACACACGCACGCACACACACACACACACACGTACAGTGGGGAAAATAAGTATTTAGTCAGCCACCAATTGTGCAAGTTCTCCCACTTAAAAAGATGGGAGAGGCCTGTAATTTTCATCATAGGTACACATCAACAATGACAGACAAAATTAGGAAAAAAAATCCAGAAAATCACATTGTAGGATTTTTAATGAATTTATTTGCAAATTATGGTGGAAAATAAGTATTTGGTCAATAACAAAAGTTTCTCAATACTTTGTTATACAGTGATCCCTCGCCACTTCGCGGTTCACTTATCGCGGATTCGCTATTTCGCGATTTTCATAATGCATTTTTTTATTTTTGGGCATTGTGCTCTGCATTCTGATCGCTAAAACTCACTCCCCTTCTTGTATCAAACATGCTACGAATTGTGCTATCATTTTGTCGTCTCGTGCAGTTATGTGTACGTACATAAAACAGCTTGGCAAATTTACATTAAGTTGGCCAAATATCTTGTAATTTCGAACATCTTCTAAACCCTAATGTCGACGAAACGGCCTACACGTGAGTCACTGTATTTGTATACATGTAATAGTTGCTAATTGTAAAAAAAAAAAAGTTTTCTATTTCGCGGATTTCACTTATCGCGGGTCATTTCGGAACGTAACCCCCGCGATAAACGAGGGATTACTGTATACCCTTTGTTGGCAATGACACAGGTCAAACGTTTTCTGTAAGTCTTCACAGGTTTTCACACACTGTTGCTGGTATTTGGCCCATTCCTCCATGCAGATCTCCTCTAGAGCAGTGATGTTTTGGGGCTGTCGACTCCCTCCAAAGATTTTCTATGGGGTTGAGATCTGGAGACTGGCTAGGCCACTCCAGGACCTTGAAATGCTTCTTACGAAGCCACTCCTTCGTTGCCTGGGCGGTGTGTTTGGGATCATTGTCATGCTGAAAGACCCAGCCACGTTTCATATTCAATGCCCTTGCTGATGGAAGGAGGTTTTCACTCAAAATCTCACGATACATGGCCCCATTCATTCTTTCCTTTACACAGATCAGTCGTCCTGGTCCCTTTGCAGAAAAACAGCCCCAAAGCATGATGTTTCCACCCCCATGCTTCACAGTAGGTATGGTGTTCTTTGGATGCAACTCAGCATTCTTTGTCCTCCAAACACGACGAGTTGAGTTTTTACCAAAAAGTTCTATTTTGGTTTCATCTGACCATATGACATTCTCCCAATCCTCTTCTGGATCATCCAAATGCACTCTAGCAAACTTCAGACGGGCCTGGACATGTACTGGCTTAAGCAGGGGGACACGTCTGGCACTGCAGGATTTGAGTCCCTGGCGGCGTAGTGTGTTACTGATGGTAGACTTTGTTACTTTGGTCCCAGCTCTCTGCAGGTCATTCACTAGGTCCCCCCGTGTGGTTCTGGGATTTTTGCTCACCGTTCTTGTGATCATTTTGACCCCAACGGGGTGAGATCTTGCGTGGAGCCCCAGATCGAGGGAGATTATCAGTGGTCTTGTATGTCTTCCATTTCCTAATAATTGCTCCCACAGTTGATTTCTTCAAACCAAGCTGCTTACCTATTGCAGATTCAGTCTTCCCAGCCTGGTGCAGGTCTACAATTTTGTTTCTGGTGTCCTTTGACAGCTCTTTGGTCTTGGCCATAGTGGAGTTTGGAGTGTGACTGTTTGAGGTTGTGGACAGGTGTCTTTTATACTGATAACAAGTTCAAACAGGTGCCATTAATACAGGTAACGAGTGGAGGACAGAGGAGCCTCTTAAAAAAGAAGTTACAGGTCTGTGAGAGCCAGAAATCTTGCTTGTTTGTAGGTGACCAAATACTTATTTTCCACCATAATTTGCAAATAAATTCATAAAAAATCCTACAATGTGATTTTTTGGAAAAAAAATGCTCAATTTGTCTGTCATAGTTGACCTGTACCTATGATGAAAATTACAGACCTCTCTCATCTTTTTAAGTGGGAGAACTTGCACAATTGGTGGCTGACTAAATACTTTTTTCCCCCACTGTATTTAGAAGAGAGATGCTCTTATCCAGAGAAACTTACAGTTAGTGCATTCATCTTAAGATAGGTGAGACAACCACATTTCACAGTCATAGTAAGTACATCTTTCCTTAATAAAGTACAGTACATGTTTCCAAATAAAATACAGTACCAGTCAAAAGTTTGGACACACCTACTCATTCAAGGGTTTTTCTTTATTTTTACTATTCTTTACATTGTAGAATAATAGTGAAGACATCAAAACTATGAAATTACACATATGGAATCATGTAGTAACCAAAAAAGTGTTAAACAAATCAAAATATATTTTATATTTGAGATTCTTCAAATAGCCACCCTTTGCCTTGATGACAGCTTTGTACACTCTTGGCATTCTCTCAACCAGCTTCACCTGGAATGCTTTTCCAACAGTCTTGAAGGTGTTCCCACATATGCTGAGCACTTGTTGGCTGCTTTTCCTTCACTCTGCCGTCCGACTCATCCCAAACCATCTCAGTTGGGTTGAGGTCGGGGGATTGTGGAGGCCAGGTCATCTGATGCAGCACTCCATCACTCTCCTTCTTGGTCAAACAGCCCTTACACAGCCTGGATGTATGTTGGGTCATTGTCCTGTTGAAAAACAAATGATAGTCCCACTAAGCGCAAACCAGATGGGATGGCGTATCGCTGCAGAATGCTGTGGTAGCCATGCTGGTTAAGTGTGCCTTGAATTCTAAATAAATCACAGACAATGTCACCAGCAAAGCACCCCCACACCATAACACCTCCTCCTCCATGCTTTATGGTGGGAAATACACATGCGGAGATCATCCGTTTACCCACATCGCGTCTCACAAAGACACGGCGGTTGGAACCAAAAATCTCAAATTTGGACTCCAGACCAAAGGACAAATTTCCACCGGTCTAATGTCCATTGCTTGAGTTCCTTGCCCAAGCAGGTCTCTTCTTCTTATTGGTGTCCTTTAGTAGTGGTTTCTCTGCAGCAATTCGACCATGAAGGCCTGTTTCACACAGTCCCCTCGGAACAGTTGATGTTGAGATGTGTCTGTTACTTGAACTCTGTGAAGCATTTATTTGGGCTGAAATATCTGAGGCTGGTAAGTAACTCTAATGAACTTATCCTCTGCAGCAGAGGTAACTCTGGGTCTTCCTTTCCTGTGGCGGTCCTCATGTGAGCCAGTTTCATCATAGCGCTTGATGGTTTTTGCGACTGCACTTGAAGAAACATTCAAAGTTCTTGAAGTTTTCCAGATTGACTGACCTTCATATCTTAAAGTAATGATGGACTATCATTTCTCTTTGCTTATTTGAGCTGTTCTTGCCATAATATGGACTTGGTCTTTTACCAAATAGGGCTATCTTCTGTATACCAACCCTACCTTGTCACAACACAACTGATTGGCTCAAACGCATTAAGAAGAACACACCTGTTAATTGAAATGCATTCCAGGTGACTACCTCATGAAGCTGGTTGAGAGAATGCCAAGAGTGTGCAAAGCTGTCATCAAGGCAAAGGGTGGCTATTTGAAGAATCTCAAATATAAAATATATTTTGATTTGTATAACACTTTTGTGGTTACAACATGATTCCATATGTGTTATTTCATAGTTTTGATGTCTTCACTATTATTCTACAATGTAAAAAATAGTAAAAATAAAGAAAAACCCTTGAATGAGTAGGTGTGTCCAAACTTTTGACTGGTAGTGTAGTTATCAGCAAAGTCAGCGCTTTTAGGAAAAGACAAGCGCAAGTGTTTTTTTGTGTGTGTTTTTTAAACGCCATACACACACACAGGTCAGCAGGAGGCCAACGTCAATGTGATGAATGACGCAGCCCACTACATTACACATTCCTACCTTTCTGTGTCTGCAGGAAGTTGATTGTTCTCTGCAGTATGGTGGATTTGTCCATCTTGCGCGGATGGCCTTGGCCCTGCAGCATGGTGCACAGCTCCTTGATGAGCACATTGAATTGGTCTCTTCGTTTCTTTTCCGATTTGTTACGAGATGCCCTTTAATAGAAAACATTATAAATGTACAGGATTACATTTCTTACCATTTACACTGAGTGTACAAAACATTAGGAACACCTTCCTACTGTTGAGTTGCAGCCCCTTTTTCCCTCAGAACAGCCTAAATTCGTTGGGCAAGTTGTCGAAAGCGTTCCACAGGGATGCTGGCCCATGTTGACTCCAATGCTTCCCACAGTTGTGTCAAGTTGGCTGGATGTCCTTTGGTGGTGGACCATTCTTGATACACACGGGAAACTGTTGAGCGTGAAAAACCCAGCAGCGTTGCAGTTCTTGACACACTCAAACCGGTGCGCCTGGCATCTACTACCATACCCCGTTCAAAGGCACTTAAATATTTTGTCTTGCCCATTCACCCTCTGAATGGCACATACACAATCCATGTCTCAATTGTCTCAAGGCATAAAATCCTTCTTTAACCTGTCTCCTTCCCTTCATCTACACTGATTGAAGTGGATTTAACAGGTGACACCAATAAGGGATCATAGCTTTCACCTGGTCAGTCCATCATGGAATGTTTTGTACACTCATTGTACATTAAAACTTTGAACATATACACATTATACATTTATTTATAAAGAAGTGCATTTGAGGACAGTAGCTAATGAGCAAGAGATGCGGTGGAAGTTGCGAGCTCAACAATTCTACCTACAGCTTCTTATTTATTAAACACACTCATGCTAAGAAGTGACCACTGCTAATTAATAACCACCATCACAATTCACTCATTCATCAGCCACCATAAAACAGCTTGCAGGATGCTAAGAGAAGGATGATAGTCTAGTGAAACCAAACAATATCCCTTCTGATAGCACAAGCAAACGTTTCTGAAGATTCATCCCATATGGACTTATTTAGATGGGAAAAACTCTGATATCAACAGCATAGCATGCACAAAATCCACCATTAAAACAAAAAAACATAATTTTTATGTGCTTGTAGTTTTTGCTGCCATTCTCCCCACACAAACTTTTGATGAATCTGACCCCAGCTGAACCCACCTGAAAACGTATACACTGACTAATGATTTAAAAGTCTACTTTCAGTCAGGCTTGTGTGCATCATTACTGGAAAGCAAAAAATGTCTTGACCTTGTTGAATAAATGGAGGGACCCTCTCCTTAACACCTTCCTATGACTTTTTTGTAAACTGTCTAGGCACAGAAGCCTTTCAAAACACTTGTCTTTGTGCTGAAGGTGTTGAGGTGAAAAGTGATTTCTAGAGCTGAAAGTGTGAAGAGTCTTCACATCAGGAAAACAGACACCTTCATAGATGTAATGTCAAAGTAGGGCCATGCTAAAGACGACCTTTCATTAACATACAAGCTGAAGGAGGCAACTTCCACTTGTCTCTGTCTGCTTCATCTCTCGTCCTCACTCTCAACCGTCTATCTCTCATAGAAACACAAACACTCACACACAACCATTACACACACAACCATTACACACAAACATTACACACACAGACATGCAGTAGTGGAATACCTTTTTGCCCTGTCTTTTTCATCTTCATCCATCAAATGGTCCACACAGCTGCTGGTGCTAGAGGGAGGGGGAGGGGAAAACCAGTTGGTATGCTGTTTCTCTGAATTAACACCAATGTCATCAACGGACAGATACAAAGCAGGTGGATTCGAATCCCCCTTTACCCTACAACATTATGAACAGAGATAGACACCCTTGGAGTGGAAACCATTCTTAAAAATTAATTAATCTACATCTTATACAACAGCAGTCTCCAACTATGGTCCTAAAGAAACTGACTTGTGCCTAGATGCTTTATTCTAGGGCGTTCACATAGTACAGTAGTTGACCAAGTATAGCCCTGTATACAGTGCATTCAGAAAGTATTCATACCCCTTGACTTATTCCACATTTTGTTGTGTTACAGGCCGAAATCAAAAATGATATATATATTTTTTTTCTTCTTCTCATCTACACACAATACCTGTAAGTGACAACATGTTTTAGAAACATGTTTGAAAATGAATAGAAATTTAACATAATGCACACCTTGAAACATTGCAGCAATACAGGGACATATTCTACGAAATATAATAATCATAAATATCATAGCAGACGCTCATCGAGGACTTACAGCATTAGGGTTAAGTGCCTTGCTCAAGCCATCGCGATTTCACTGTGGGTCGGGGATTAGAACCATCGTGGTATGGAAATCTCTTACACTAAGCTACTGCAATATGTAATAATCGTTGTACTGTATGTGTGTCTAGGTTTTGTTCAAATGTTGTGTTAGTGTAATGTAAGTGGTGTTGTCTGAAAAACTGTGTTCCCCCTGTGCTGTTTGGACTAAGGTCTCTCTCGAAAAATAGATTTGATCTCAATGATAAAAACCTGTATAAATAAAGGTTAAATAAAAAATAAAATAAAAAGTCTAAGAGCTTTGCACACCTGGATTGTACAATATTTGCACATTATTATTTAGAAAATTCTTCACGCTCTGTCAAGTTGGTTGTTGATCATTGTTAGACATTTTCATGTCTTGCCATAGATTTTCAAGCCAATTTAAATAAACTGTAACTAGGCCACTCAGGAACATTCAATGTCATCTTGGTACGCAATTCCAGTGTAGATTTGGCCTTTGTGGTTTAGGTTATTGTCCTGCTGAAAGGTGAATTTGTCTCCCAGTGTATCCTAAAAACTCCCTAGTCCTTGCCGATGACAAGCATACCCATTCTTGAAAATACTGTATGAAGAGTGGTACTCAGTGATAAAGTTCATTTATTTGCCACATTTTTAGCAGTTTTACTTTAGTGCCTTATTGGAAACAGGATGCATGTTTTGGAATATTTTTATCCTGTACAGGCTTCCTTCTTTTCACTCAGTCATTTAAGTTAGTATTGTGGAGTAACTACCATCCTCAGTTTTCCCCCTATCACAGCCATTAAACTCTGTAACTGTTTAAAGTCACCATTGGCCTCATGGTGAAATCCCTGAGTGGTTTCCTTCCTCTCCGTCAACTGAGTTAGGAAGGATGCCTGTATCTTTGTAGTTAATGGGTGTATTGATACACCATCCAAAGTGTAATTCATAACTTCACCATGCTGAAAGGGATATTCAATGTCTGCTTTTTTTATTTCTTCTTTGCGAGGCATTGGAAAACCTCCCTGGTCTTTGTGGTTGAATCTGTGTTTGAAATTCACTGCTCGATTGAGGGACCTTACAGGTAATTGTATGTGTGGGGTACAGATGAGGTAGTAATTGTTTTTTTTTTAAATAATATTATTGCACACAGATTGAGTCCATGCAACTTATTATGTGACTTGATAAGCACATTTTTACTCCTGAACTTATTTAGGCTTGCCATAACAAAGGGGTTGAATACTTATTGACTAACGACATTTCAGCTGTTCATTTTTAATTAATTTGTAAACATTTCTACAAACATAATTCCACTTTCACTTTATGGGGTATTGTGTGTAGGCCAGTGACACAATCTCAATTTAATACATTTTAAATTCAGGCTGTAACACAACAAAATGTGGAAAAAGTATACGGGTGTGAATACTTTCTGAAAGCACTGTATATTGTTAGAATGTAGGGTAACTCGGTAAGTCATACACTACATGACCAAAAGTATGTGGACTCCTGCTCGTCGAACATCTCATTCCAAAATCATACGCATTAATATGGAGTTGGTCCCCCCTTTGCTGCTATAACAGCCTCCACTCTTCTGGGAAGGCTTTCCACTAGATGTTGGAACATTGCTCTGGGGACTTACTTCCATTCAGCCACAAGAGCATTAGTGAGGTTGGGCACTGATGTTGGGCGATTAGGCCTGGCTCGCAGTCAGCGTTCCAATTCATCCCAAAGGTGTTTGATGGGGTTGAGGTCAGGGCTCTGTGCAGGCCAGTCAAGTTCTTCCACACCGACCTCGACAAACCATTTCTGTATGGACCTCGCTTTGTGCACGGGGGCATTGTCATGCTGGAACAGGAAAGGGCCTTCCCCAAACGGTTGCCACAAAGTTGGAAGCACAGAATCGTCTAGAATTTAATTGTGTGCTGTGGCGTTAAGATTTCCCTTCACTGGAACTAAGGGGCCTAGCACGAACCATGAAAAACAGCCCCAGACCGTTATTCCTCCTCCACCAAACTTTACAGTTGGCACTATGCATTGGGGCAGGTAGCGTTCTCCTGGCATCCGCCAAACCCAGAGGTTCCTAGAGGTTTCCACTTCACAATAACAGCACTTACAGTTGACCGGGGCAGCTCTAGCAGGGCAGAAATTTGACGAACTGACTTGTTGGAAAGGTGGCATCCTAAAGTCACTAAAGTCATCCTAAAGTCCATGTTAAAAATCACTGAGCTCTTCAGTAAGGCCCTTCTACTGCCACTGTTTGTCTATGGAGATTGCATGTGTGCTCGATTTTATACACCTGTCAGCAACGGGTGTGGCTGAAATAGCCGAATACACTCATTTGAAGGGGTGTCCACATACGTTCGTATATATAGTGTATTTCTCCATACAAACACATGTATTTAGCAGTGACAGGAAACACAAGAAAGAAAATAAAAGTAGCCGAGATACTTACTCCCATTCCCTCCGGCTAGACGGACATAGGGACCCAAAGTCGGAAAGGTTGTCCATTCTCACTCCTTCGCCCAGCCAGGCCCTATCTGAAGTCTGATGTATCCCATTCGCGCTAGCTGCGCTGAAACTCCCAGGAAGAATCTAGTGATCACCTGCTGCTGCCCACCTCCTCCTCCTGGAGTCCGCCACAGAAATACAAAAACCTGGGGAGGATAATAAGAAAGAAAGTGGGCTTGAGTAAAGGGAAGGGAAGTCTACTGTAGTTATGGCATATCTATGTCAATTACTCATACATCCGATAATTACTGTATTTTAATTAATCTGCAGCAGTTTCATTCAAGTGTCATAGCGGTATTATGCCCAGCAACAGTGCTGCCCCTCAGTATTCTCTTATTCACACTCAAGCAGGTCCCCAAACCTTTAGCTCCA